AACATTAACAGATTACAATCTCAACTGCTTCAACTACAATACCAGACTTGAAATCTGAACCTAGTACCTAATGTTGACAATAGATTCACAGCCATCTTTTCTATAGCCTTGAAATCCAAACCTGCTACCTCATGTGGACAGTAAATACACAGCCATCTTTACTATAGCAAGTTGCTTAGAATTATTTTCACTTTCTTTTCAGTTAAACAAGCAAGGTGCTTGCTTTACAATATCAGTCACCCCAGAGACTCTGTATACAAACTGCTTATATTTTTTAATTTTACGGTAATTTCCCGATGAATGGGATATGGGTCTTCTGCGCAGTCCAGGTGCCCAGCTTTTGTTAAATAAAGTAAGTAAAAGATTACACTGAGACTCCCACTATTTTTATAATGACAGTTCCTTCTTAAGTTTAAAATTGAATCGATTACACTGAGAGGTAATTAATGTAAATATCGCTGTTCAAGTTGTAATGTTTTCTAATCAAGGTCATATTTTCTGTACATTTTTTCATGGCAATTACTGTAAATATCTCTGTTCAAGTTTGTATTTTCTCTAATCATGGTAATATTATTGTAAAGCTACCACAACGACTGCTTATATTCAAAATGTTTTTAACTCATTTTTGTAGTTTCATGATGAATGGGATAGGGGCCGCTGCGCGGCCCAGGTGCCCAGCTGTTTTTAAATAAAGTAAAGTAAGTAAAGATTACACTGAGATTGAAACTATTTTTATAATGAAAGTTCCTGAGTTTAATTGAGATTCTGTTGCAAGAGATTTTTGAAGATAATCACTCATTTCACTGTTTTTATGCAATTGAATAGTCAGAGCCAGAATTTTTTAAGTGGTAGGAAGAAGAATTCATTTCAGTTTATTATGCGATATGTTAAGGTCCTTTTCCGTGCTTCCAAAGGATCAAACATGCATACGAATATATACGCTCCTTCGACAAAAATCATTTTGAAAAATGATTTTTCAAGTTCGAAGTTCGGGTTTCGAATAATTTTGCTTAAAAACATCATTTTGAAAAAAAAAAAATCTGTAGAAAAAACAGATTCCTTCGAATGTACCTATTTCTTTCGGAGAGCTGAAAAGTAACTTGAATATTTCCCTTCTCTAAATAAAAACTTTCACTAAAAACAACAATGACTGATTATGAGATCGAAGGTTCGAAATCAAAGGAAAATTATACTTTCATTTGTTCTTATGAAATTTTCAGAATCATTTTCACGACCTAGATAATTTAAAAACACATAACTTTTTCAATGTACAATTTTTTTTTAATTGAAGCAGATTATTTAAAAAGAGATGTTTTAATACATCTTCCAACAATTGTGTATTTTGCTAAATATCTTATTAATTGGAAGGGAATAAAGATTTTTTTAAAATCCAAAACTAAGAAAAAAATAATCATTTGTTCATCTTATTTATTATATACCTGTTTAAATAGAGTTAGAAAGACATAAAAATTTCCAAAAGTATACATAATTTTGTCCACCACTGTATATTATACTTTACTAACACTAACAAAATATTTTCCTTATTTTCAGAATTTCTACAGTTGCTGGAGGGTATGGTAAAAAACATTTATAAAAATTTGTAGCGGTTGAAAGATTTTTGAGCAGATCAATAAAAGTTTCACAAACAAAATTTAAAAATAATAATTATTATAGAAACTCAGAATAAAAATTTTAAAAACCCAACAAAGATTCAAGATCGAGAAGGAAAGAATTTAAAAATCAAGGGAGATAAGCAAAAATTGTCGTAGGTTTGAATCTTATCTGACGCCATGAATTCTTTTTTTCTTCATTATTCTAATTTTACATTTTTGCACACATTTTTGCAGAATAAATTAGAAACTTAATATTAAAAACTTATTCAAATCAGCATTTGGAAATTTATGTAAAAGTTTTGCAAGATATGAATGTTAGTATTGGTTCCAATTTTTGTTAGCCATGAATATTTTTTATTGTAAAAATTTTGTGCCCTTACTTTTTTTGAGGTAGAGTCTTTTCAATCGTAGCAAAACCTTATGTTTTTACCCATTCCCTATTGAAGAGCCGTAAAAAAATATTTTGAGGAGAAAATAAATAAAAATTTATGAAAAAAGGGGGGGTATTTTTTATTATTAGGTATCAACTTAAGTTTAAAAAAAATCGAAACAGAATGATTTCACATTGATATAAACGGTGATAGTAATATGATTAAAATAGTGACAAGAGAGTTATCATATCTTTTTTTATTTTATTTTTAGATGAATCCAGATGGTTCAAATGTCGCATTATTTTAAAGTAATAACCACCGTAGTTCGTAATGACGCCGTAGTTCTAAAACGGACTGTGATTTTGTTTTTAAATTAAAATAAAATCTGAAAGTTAAGTATTTTGTTATCTTTAATTTAAATTAAAACTTTATATTGATAGTTTAAAGTAAATTTAATTTCGTTTTTTAATTTTTTATAGGACTGTAAAAAAATATTTCTATTAAAGATGGTGGACACGAAAATGTTTTTGTGAAAAAAAGTTCGCAAACGACGAAAACCTCAAATACGGAGGAACATCCGGGCTCATACATTTCATTTTTACTTATTTTTGAAACTAAACACATTTTTGTTTGGAAAATTGTTTGCAAACGATGAAAACTCAAACAGGAAGCGACATTCTGACTTTTCATTTCTTCCTGAAATTTAAGACAGTTTTGGGTAAAAGCAGTTAGCAAACGATGGAAAAAAGAAGTAATATTATTGTACATGCCTTTGATTTTTCACTTATTTCTGAAACGTTTTTGTGCGAAAAACAGCAAACGATGAAAACCTGAAATAAGAAGTGGCATCCATTGAGAATCTTCCTGGCAGTTGAGTTATTTTAAGAATCATTCTGTTAACATGTTGCATGCCATGGGGGTCACCGGTGACTGGCACTGAGCTGGTTCGTAGAGCTACGGGGGTCACTGGTGACCGGCAAAGCCAAGATTATTAGAAACACATAATTTGAGTAAATTTGTAATTTTTTTTTTAATATTATTATCGTTACTAAAATGGTTTGAAGAAATTAATGCAATATGGAACACACAAAAGTAGTTTTATTTATATACACAGCGATGCCAACTTGTCTGGACAGCGAATAAATATTTTCAAGTAGTAGTTTATTAATTGCGATTCTTGGTTTAATAAATTCAATTTAGTAGATTTTTATCCACCACTATTGCTAAACAATTCGTAGGCTTATATAATTCACCACTTTTTTCAGATTAGTCACCCACCATAATGTTGCATAATACAAACTGTTTTCATACACTGTATACTGTACTTTCATACCCAGGCACCCAATTTGTTCTAAATAAAGAAAGAAAGATTAGTCATGCTAAACCTTTTAAAAAACTAACAAAATCTGTCCAATATTTGCAAATTGAGTTAGTAGTTATTTACTGTGTGGCCAGACTGGCAAGCCATGTAAAATTAGAGTGGCATTCAACGTGTTAAACAATATGACAGTTGAAAGGATTCCGAAAGCAAAGATCTGAAATAAATATGATTTTTTTGCAAATCACTTATCGTTACAAAAAAAAGCTAAGTAAATATGACCAAATTTTACTTTTTTTTTGTTGTTCAAACTGATTTTTTATTTTGCTTAGGAAATGCGCAACTCTTCTGGTAAAACCACTTTTCTTTTATCTTAGAAAGGAAAGGCATTCTCATCTTTCATTACCCGCTGTGTGTAAGCAAGTATAATAAAGGGAATAAAATACGTAAGCCAACAAAAATCATTTTTCTCTTTTGCGACCCCTCTCACCGAAGGTCATTAGGGAGACCCCCTGTCGATTTTTCTTCTTCAAAGTTTTAATATGCGAATCAGTCTACCTGCTCTTTATATCAGCAATATTTGAGGTGGAAATATCAGCAATATTTTCCATGAAACCTTTCACACTGGTCTCTTTATATATTTTTATTTTTTATAACCGTCGTTGAGCAGTCGACCCATTTTTTTGGGTTTACGACTACCAATGTTCAACTCGGTAGCCTTGTAATTTTGAACCCAATCCAGAAGACAAGGGAACTCCTGAATCAAGAAGTGGGAGAAATTTTGCTTTCGTGGAAGACTTTTTGATGGAACTAACCCGTATAGAGGAAAACCAAGAAAACCTCCCACGGTCAGCCTCACGGCATGGGGAATTTAACCCATGATTCGTCTACTACTGAGGATATTTTACGTCAGCACAGTGGTTGATGCGAGCAGAGTATGAAATTCTTATCAACGAGCCATCGCTGGAATAGGAACCCGGTTCACGTCATTGGAAGGTGAACGCTTTATCCCTTGAAACACCACGTCTCGGTCTTTTTACATTGTAAGAATATGAATAATGCAATTATAGAGGGAATTATTTTTATGTAAACGTATTTTATATAATTAAATTTTTTGAATTCGCTTAACCCAGGGATAGGCAAACTTTTTTGGTCGAGGGCAAGAAATCGAAAGAAAAAAGTTTGGTGGGCCGAGTAAAAACTTATAAAATAAAAAAAATATGATATACTAGTTTTAATTTAAATATTTAATGAGATGAATGAAATTGTGATTTCATTTTTAAAAGTTCCTTATATTGAGGTTCGAAGAGAGATGTGCTTGTTTTAAGGAACGAGGCTGTTAGTCTGCTTCTGAAATGATCTTTTCTAAGGTTCATAGTTGAAAACACTTGTTCACATATATAAGATGAAGCTAGCTTTTGGTAATGATTTGTGAAACTCAATCTTTGTCATATTTAGGGACAACTTCTTCAGATGATTGTTAGATTTCAACTCAATTAATTTAAGCTGCAAATCCGACCTCACTGTTTCACAATTTACGTTGAAAGGCATGGTAAAAATATCTAATTCTGTTTGAATGGCACTGAAATCTTAAAATCTGCTATCAAATTCAAAATGGAGTTTTTTCAAGCCATCTTCATAGTTCCTAATATTTTCCTTATTTACTGAGGGTATTGAATTTAACCTCGAGAAATAAGACTAGTCGTTCTTAGCTAGCTGCCCAGCAAACAGATTAAGCTTCAGTTTAAAAGCCTTGAGATGGGCCCAGATATCATCGATGAATTGATTTTTCTCTTGCATTTCAACATTCAAGTTGTTCATATGACAAAGAAGATCTGGGAAAAATACAAAGTCTGAAAGCCATGCTGTATCTTCTAATATTTCGCACTCTGTTGAAGACTGTTTCTCATGGAAGAACGACACTATGTCGACCTTCGGCTGCCAAACTCGCTCAAAAAAACATCCTGCACTAAGCCACCTTACATTCGTGTAATACAGTACATCAGAGTATTCAGATTGCACGGACTGAAGAAAATCTCGGAATTGCCGGTGAGTAAGCCCACGAAATCGAATAGTATTAATAAGCTTTACTACTGCATCAAGCACAGGTTTCATATTCATTGCAGATTTACACAGAGCATCTTGGTGTATAACACAAAGTAGAAAACTAACGTTATTCCCGGGATAGGCCTGATTAAAGAGTCCAAGGAATCCAGATTTTATTCCTGTCATATTTTGTGCCCATCAGTCGAAATATTACATATTTTTGTTCTGGCCACTTTCAGAGTTAAAAACCCTTCCTGAAACTCACGAAAAATATTACATCCCGTGGAAGTTCTCTTTAAAGAACGCATGTACGCTAGTTCCTCTGTACTTATTATTTATATTATATTTTATTATTTATATTATATTCTAGACTTATTATTTTTAGCAATAGTGCATACTACAATGTAACTTGCATGCGTAGCTGCTCCTTGGACACTGTTTATCGTCCTGAAAAAATTTTGTTGCCTGATAATTCTTTAAGAAAACTTTCTTCATTTTGTCTTCTTTTACATTCAGACATTGCTCCGTAGTTGGCATTATTGTGCTTGGCTGTAAAATGTCGATAAATGTTGTATTCTTTAAAAACTGCTACAGCTTCATTGCAGATAAGACATACTGGTTTATCTTTTACAACTGTAAAAAAGTTCATTCATCATTGACTGCATGGCACCCTGAATCAACTTTGCGTTTTTTAGTAGCTATTTTGGGGATAAAAATTTTTACCAATAACTCAAATACGCACTAGCTATTTTATAGATTTAATAATTTCACCATTATTTACAATGACATTATATGTGTGCAATCTTTCCATATCCAATAAATAATATTAGAACTCTCGCCGGCAGAAAAATCCGCTCGTTGGAGCTTAAAATGCGTAGTCTGCCACATATGAAATACAATTCACCTATAATACATACCATATGTCTGCTCCTCGAGAAAGACAAACGTTCGTTGGAGCCAATCTACGGCTATTCTATAAAGAACTTCTGCTTTAAATATTTTACCAATTGAAGCTGTCTTTGCTAACTATTTCCATCAATTTATGTTTTGTAGAACAAAAATAGAGAAAGCAAAAAGGTCATCAGTACTTAGTTAAAAAAGAAAGAACAAAAATAGCTTTACACAAAATAAACAAGAAAGTTGATATATAATGTATATTGTTTACATTCGCATGGATCGGCAAGTTGAAATTCTATCCGCTGGCCGGATAAAACCTTCCGTTGGGTCGCAGTTGGCCCGTGGGTCGTAGTATGCCCATCTCTAAACCCTTTCCATCAAATTTCGATTAAAAATTTTAGTCATGCAACATTTTAGCAACTGCGACCAGCAACTCCGACCAAAGAATATACAGGGCATCCCGTAAAGCGTCTACGGGATCTATAAGCGCCTACGGGAGTAAGGGCACATCATAAGGGTTAAGGATCGCATATGAACCCATGGCTGGAAATGTCAGGGGTAAGTGGTAGCAAAGGTAGACGATGGGAAAGGAAACACAAACAAGAGAGTGGTTAATTTGAACCATATATATATTACACATAATGAATACAAATGGTGCACAGCAGCTTGAATGTTACAAAAGACGCTTGAGGTTTGCACCATCAGACGCCAAACATGCCTGGATTGATTACCGGACATGTTCAAACACACCGGGAGTTTTTTTGATTGTAGCAGCTGCGCCGGCGAATCTTGCCACGATATCCATTTCAGACTCAACAGGATCGCGATACACGACACTTTTGATGGTTCCGCACAGAAAAAAGTCAAGGCTCGATAAATCCGGTGAGCGTGGGAGCAATTGAACTAATCCACCACACCAAATCCATCGATGCGGGAATGATCTGTTTAAATGGTTTCGAATATCTTATCCAAAATGAGCTGGCTGGCACCCCATCGTGTAGGAACAACATGTTGCCTCTCACATTTTGGGAAACATCGGCAAGCAAGCCGGGAAGAACCTGCTCCAGAAAGATCAGCTTATTCGCGGCATTCAACCTGGATGGTTAAAGCTACGACCCGACTAAACAGTAGTCAAACAAACCCGCTCACACATTAACTCTGAAGCGTTATTGTGCCTCGTGGTGCCGTAAACCGTGGAGGTTTGTTGAGCCCACAAATGCTGATTGTGGTGATGGATGTGGCCTTCCCCATTAAATGTAACTTCATCATTGAACAACACATAAGCTAGGAAATTCTCATCACGGGCACTTTCTTATAGTAACCACATGTTCAGGATGGTCATTGGGAAGCAGTAACTGAACCCTTTGTAAACGAAAGGCGTGGAAGGACATTCAAAACACGCTGGATACTAGTACGAGACATTCTTAACTGAGAGGCAATAGCACGTATGCTGGTCCTTGGTTTACTCTCAACCGCATCCAGCACACTTTCTCCCCTCTCGACCGAGTGAGTCGATCATGGCCTGATCTCACTTGTCCTGCCACTTCCTAATGACCCGTCCTCACACAAATTTCATGCAGACGAGCAAACAAACTGTGGTGTAGTTGCTGTCTGTCTGGGAAGCGTTCTCGATAAATGCGTGCAGCGGCTCGTCTTTTACCCTCACCTATTCCGTAAGCGAAGTGCATGTCAGCAAGCTCTCCGTTGGTATAGCGTTCCATACTCTTCGTATGCTGCCTACCGCTCGAATAAGGCAATCTTCACTTACCTCTTCACTGTTCAGCACCACCTAGAGGCGTACGATGACATTTCCGGGCATGGGTTTCTATGCAATTCTTAATCTTTATGATGTGCCCTACCTCTCCCAGAAGTTTGACGCAACGATTACGAGGAATCCTGTACATAGGAGAGGAAGGCTAGCTTCCATAGGTATAATGTAAAGCTTCCTAAGGGTTGGTACGGTCCCTATTTAAAAAGAAAAAAAAAACATTTACGGAACCGGCAGCAGATGATCTTGAAACAGGTTTATACTTCCTCCCCCCCTTAACCACTACCGGGAGAAAGGAAATATATATTTTAGCCGAAATGAAAAGGTAAGCTTCCTCTTTTTTTATGGTTGGATTGTTGCAGTACTTTTGCACTATTTATAAATAGTATTGTGCTATTTATTAAGATATTTCTTTGAGAAATTGTTTATATCATAATTAAATTTGCTAACACGTTTTAAAATCAAACGAAATAATAAAATGGCTGTTGACAAGAGGCAGCGTACCAACCATTGGCATGTCCAACAACCGGTTAAGGTGATGTACCACATAATTGTCACATGGCTTCTTATACGCATGCGTTGGATCTTAGTAGGGGAGAGTGGGGTCAATTGTAACAGGGTACGATTGTAACAGAGCAAACATTTCGAGTGTCGGGTTCTAGATTTGGTTCCTAGGTGGCGCACAAGGTGTATTTAATAAATCTACATGTACACCCCTGATGGCAACCATTTTTATGTACTTTTGAAAGAGTTACATCACAAAAGATATTTTCACGCTACGTAAGTACTTTTTTTGGTATTAGAATATTATATTGTAACAAAGTAATTTTGTTTAAACAAATAAAAATTATTAACCGAATATGTAAGTGGACACCTTAATTAACATTTCAATAAAAAAAAATTAGTTTTGTTAATTAACTAGCATTGTTTTTAACAAATGAAGCTGAAATGGCGTCTTGGGGACAATTGTAACAATAAGTAAAGGGACGATTGTAACAGCTGAAAATAAATAATCTTATGTTTACAAACCATTACTTAACTCTTTAAGAACCACCAATAGTTTCCTATATCATTTATATTATGTTGCATGTGCATTATTTTATTTGTCACCTTTCACAGCATAAATTAAAATTTTTAACCCCTTAAAGTTAAAAGTTTAACCCTTTAGGTCTCTGCTCATTATTATTTTTACTCCTAAAATATCACTACTATTTTGATCAATAAAAAAATATATCACAACTATGATAATATGTATAATTAACTATGTTTTAGTTGAATTTATGAACTGTTACAATTGACCCCGTAAGTGGGGACAATTGTAACAAGTGCACGATTGTCAAAAATTGTTAATAACTGATATAATAACATTTAAAATAAGGTATTTTTTCTTTCTAGTAGAGGATAGTCTACTTTACTCGTCTGTCAGTCAATACTAATAATATATTGGATTTTTTGTTAGTTAAAAATAGTTAAGTAAAAAATGTTACAATTGACCCCACTCTCCCCTACATGATGCTCTTCTAAATCTGAGTATGTTGCTTTCTTTGTAAGTTGTTTTTCTGGTATAGCAACCTGTATTGAGCAGTTAGTTGCGTATTTGAAGGTCTTTGCTTAGTGCAAGCTAAGTGAAGAGATATATTTTAATCTTCTGTTGCTTAAAAAAAAGGGGTTGCTGAAAAGCTAGCAGTTTACATTTTTAGTGGTTTGTAATATTTTAAAAACCCGACAGTATATTCTGCACCAGAAAAGGGTCCCGCAGTGGACTGATCGTTAAGACACGGTTCCCAGCAGATCACCGAAGTCAAGCATCACTGGCTGCGGTCAGTGTGCGGGTGGGTGACCACTTGGATCAGTCTGCGTAGGTGTGCGGTATTGGTCCTCGTTAAACTGTGCTACCGTAAAGTGCTCGACTTCGCGCGCAGGTCGTCGGGCTACCGAAGCGGGGGTGCCATCCCCTCCGCAGAGGATCAAAATTGTGATGGCATGTCTTCGGATTATCCTCCGGGATGTTTCCCAGACCGTCGCCAATAGCCCATTGTGCAGCTCTAGTGCGACGTAAATTAACAATAACAAATAATAATAGCACCAGAAAAGGTAAACAAGTTCTCAAGATATGAGAAAAATATACAAAAAATTGAAGCTAAAATTACGAGGCTTTCCTGATCAAATTATTGGAACTATATTTTCCATTTCATGGCTATTCCCATATTTTGATTGTCAAAAATTCTTCGAAGAAAATTAAAGGTATTTTATGTTGAGAGATTATTTTATTTGCGGTAGATTCTGTTAATATTTAGAGCTACTTAGTTAGCATATTTGAGATCCAATTTTATGCCATTAAAATTAGTGAAAAACTTATTATTTGAGATAAAAGTTATTCAGAGTGCTATTTTGTCTTGTTCACTGTCATACATTGTAGTAGATGTTATCCAGAAGTTCCTAAAATATTCCAATTGTTAGCATAATAAGTTTCTATATAGACTTTGAAATATTTAAAAATTTCACTGCACCATTATCAGGT